CGGGCGGAGCTGCGCCCCGGGCCGCGGGGTCGCGGGTGGCCGCCGTGTGGGGAGCGGGTCCCGCGGGGCCGGCCCGGCCCGTTGCGCCCCTCGCACCTCAGCCCGGCCCGTGTCACTTCACGCTGCCCATCCCTCACCTCCCGCCTCGGCCCAAACCTGCCCCATGCTGCCGCAGCCCACCCTGTCTCAGCCCAGACCATCTCTGCATGCCCTGTCCTGCCGTAGAATCACGGAATCATTACAGTTGGAAAAGACCTTTGAGAGCATCAACTCCCACCATAAGCCCCTCAACACCATGGCTGTTAAGCCATGTTCCTAAGTGCCTCATCTGCATGTTCCTTGAGCACCTCCAGGGACTGTAACTCCACCGCTTCCCTGGGTAGCCTGTGCCGATGCTTGACCGCTCATTCCATGTAGAAGTTGCTCCATGCTACTCCATGCTCCCCAGCCCAACCCATCTCACCTCACACTCCCCATCCCAGCCCATCCAGCCTTAGCCCACTCGGCCCCATGCACTGCATCCCAACTCATCCTGCCCCATGTGCTTCATCCCTGCACTCCCCATCCCAGCCCATCACACTCCCTATCCCAACACTTCCTTCCTCATCCCAGCCACATCCCAACCCAGGCCACTTCACACATCCAACCCATGCACCTCATCCTGCCTCATTCCATTGTAACCCATCCCACCCAACACACTCCATCTGAGTCCTTTTGCCTCATCCCACCCTAGGCATCCCATCCCAATGCATCCCAAGACAACCCAACTCATCCCAGTCCATTCTAGTCCACCTCAGTCACTCTGACACCATGAATCTCAGCACATCCCAGTCCATCCTACCCCATGCACCCTATCCCACATGACCCAACACTCATTGCAGGACATCAGAAGGAAAGAACAAAATTACTGACCTGAAACATAACCAAGTAAACTCCTAATAGCAGATTTAAGAGTGAACCCTTATCTGAACTGGAATCCTGCAGAGTTTTGTTTTATCTAGTTATTCTCCAACATAGGAACAGGTAGGTTTTCTTGCTGATGGCAAGACCTATGTAAACATAGGCATCTGTTCAGCAGAACTCCTAAATAGTGTGAGGAATTAATTTATTGCTGATCTAGAAATTATTTGTTTTCTTGAACTTTTTAAAAACTGAAAAAAAAGGGGGGGAGGGATCCAGAAGCCTAGTTTGATACATATCTAAACCTTAATTTGGGATCTGAGTATTTATTAGGGGTCAGAATTTACTTTATAAATAAAAGAGATGCTACAGCATTCCTAGGCAACTTGTTTCAGTATCTGACCACACTCACTGGGAAGATTTTATTGCCTTATATCCTCAGGATTTCCACTGCCACAACTTGCGTCTATCACATCATAACATTTTACTGTAAAGCTTCAAGGAGACTGTGGCTCTCTCTCCTCTACAACTTCCTGTGAGGTCAGACAGTGAAAAACCTTCTGCTGCCCATGCTGAGCACAGCCCCCAGCCTCTCCACCTCCGTACAACCTCACAGGAAGCAAAAATTCAGAATGCACAGCTTCAGGTATGGATCTGATTGCACAGAAACAAGACAGAAAATGATATGCAGTCCATGTTATTCTCAGTTTTGTTTTGGCTCTTTGTTGCTTTATATTGAGGTCAGCATAAAGCAAAGAAAAAAAATGACGAGGAAGCTGCCAGAAATAAAAAAGTACCATGCTCATTTCCCTAGACAACAGCAAAGTTGTGATGCTTCCATGAACCAGAGAAAAATGTCTCCATGAAGTAAAGCATCTGCAGCGACCCAAAGTGATCATTTCAGACAGTCACTTGTCAGGTTCACCCTGGGCAAGTGTCTCGGTGGCAGTAGACACTGTCAGGAAGCACAGCCACAGGGTCTGGAGGTGCTGAAAGTTTTGAACGAGGGAATATTCCCTGCTGGTATTACAGCATCTCCTATAGAAGGTGTGCACCTTGTCACTGCTATGATATGAAAGCTCATCAGTGTCGGGAGGAAGGTGATGTGGAAGAGGCAGGAGGTGCGGAGGCAGCGAAGAGCCCCTACATGGGCTGGGGGACCAGGGACTGCCTGAGGAGCGAGCTGTGAGCACCAGCAAGACACAGCAGACAGCCCTGCCTTGCTGAAAATAGAAACGAATGGTTGTTTCTGACCATTCAAAACACGGAAAGCAGGTGTGTGTAGGTTTAGAAATACAAATATGCATATACACATGCTCATTATATATAATTGCTTAATGGAACATTCACAAGCTACTTGTTTTAGAAAGTTACGCCTGCTAGATTCACACAGAGGCCTTGCATAAAAATGAATTTCTCTCTCTTCCTTAGGAAGGAAAAGGGCATTGAAATAGAGCTCTAAAGAGCTAGAAATAACACTATAATGTGCATTCTGTTGCTTTCCCTCAAATTTCAGTTCATAGACTTAGGTGATTTTTTATGTAGACTCGCAGGTGCATCCATTTAAGTCATGGCACAAATAAATGCAGCCAAGTGCATATGAATGATTGTGCTATCAAATACCCATAGATATGTGCATTTAAAATGGGTGGCACAATCAAAGAACCACGCAGATAGCATGACAATGAGCATGATATAAAATTCTGAACAGATACACAAAGTGGAAAGGATATATTGTGTTTCTAAATACTTGCCTTAATCAAGTGTGCACAACAAAGCACGCTTGGACACGTGTCCAAGTGCAGACAAATGCAACTCTACACATGTTCCTCCAAGTGGACATTAAATGGAAAACGTTCTGGTTCCCAGTTGATGGGGATTCAGATGTCTTGTCACTTTGATGGATTAGGTTATCATCATCATTCCTGCTAACAGCATGACTCTTCGTCTTTACCAAAATCTCTGATATTTATCTTGACTTCTGAAGAGAAATGGAATCGCACAAACATTTAGGAGCACATAAATATTAAAATCGGTATCTTGATGCAAATGTTGGGAACTTTGTTTTTTGGGGTGGGACTAGGAAGGTGTTTCTAGCACAATCTCATTTCTCCCATCAACCCCCCTTTCATAACTCCCTAGCTTTGTTTAGGATAATATTAATTTAAATGATTTTACATCATTTTTTTCCAGTAGCTTGGCAGTGGTCACAAAGCTGATGATCAGTTCATCCCATACAAAATGTAAAATACAGGAAAGAAGAATACTTCAACTTTTTCTGTGAAAAAAAGATCTAGGTTAATTTGCAAATCAAGTGAGTTTTGTTGGACCACCTGTCCAAATTAAGAAATTTGAAAAAATGTGGGCAGGAGGGACGTGTGTCACTAGTACCCTTCCCGCAATGAGGACTCTTAATTGCTTGGACCCTGCTGTGGGCGAACGTACAAGAAACTCATGCTCTGAGCAATATTCATCTTGCTGAGTGTTTTCCTTTCTCCACTTGTGGTTGGTATGACCCCTTTGGACTCCAACTGCTAGAGAAGCTGCACGGCAACATGCAGAGTATGTTATTATTATCTTGAATATTCTCCAGCTTTTGTACCAAATGCTTAATCTGCTTGGTCAGGATTAAATGTCCTTCGCTTTTGACTTCTGAACATTTCTGCTCCAGATCATGCACCTGGCATGTTACTGCAGCTTTCTTTTAATGAGGAACAAACACAAGTTTCTTTGCTGAAACATAGCACTAGGTGATATGCATTTGTGGACTATTTAAAAATTTTTTTCTCAGAAATCAAGCAAAATTATAGCTCAGAAAACCCTACTGTGGGCAAGCTGGTGGAGGGCTTGCGCCAGGCACCGTGGAGCTGCTGGGAAAGAAGAGCCACCTACACTCGTTGTCAGCCACTTGCACCCCTCTCTGCCCTTGTCTCAAAACCTGTCAAAAACTGGAGGAGTTCAAAGAGTTTCAGCAAATAAACCCAACTCCAAGCACGCAACACAGTAACAAAAGCCTCATTTCTTCAGGAAACCAGGCCAAAAAAAAAAAAATATAATAGAATGTACAACAATTTTAGAAGAAAAAAGGGGATTTTCTTACTGGCAGGATGACTGTATTTCACATGCTGTGTGAAATTTGGCACACTGTTTGACCACCCACTTCCCTCCTCCAAAAGAATAAGGAGTTTTCATTTTTCTCTATGAACCTTAAAGATGATAAAATATTTCTACATTAGAATTGTAAATTAAAGTTCATCCTTTCAATTCTTAAAAAGAGAATATCTATAGCATTGGTTACAGGAAAAGTGAAGCATTTGTAGGCAGTTTAAGTCCTTTGAAATGAATAAAACAAAATTAATGTTTTTTTTTCATGTACGGACAGTGGTCAGAGAACCTGCGCTGTGTCAAACATATTGGCCTTTGGAAATAAATTGATAGATAACTTATAATTTCCAATAACCTCCAAACAACAGAGGCAGAGACAGAGAGGCTATGGGAGAAAGCAAGCAGGCTTTGTGGGAATCATGGCAAGGCTTGAGATAAAGATGGCAACATTTTGCCTTGCATGTGCCTGCTCACTGACAAATTATGCAATCACCTAATAAATTTTAATGCCATGTG